CGTACCCTCCGCTCAACAGCAAGAACTTTTGGGCAAAAGCGATAGAATTTTTGGGAAATCCGGAAAAAGTGGTAGGAAGTTGGGGAAAGTTGGGTAGTTAGGTAGAGCGAGTGGTGGTATTTTCTTCGCGTTTTTTTCCAATTCACATCTGCATCCCCCCCCCTCCTTCCGCTACAGACTCGACCGAAATCCCCAATTAAGTGTTCTGATGCTATTAAAGTCGGAAGTATCTTTATATTGCCAAACTATTTATGGGTAGAGATGACGCACACTCCTTATATCGGAGATAAGGAAGGTGTGGCTGCACATGTTATTTGAAGGTGGCAGCGGCTGCGCTTCATTGGTCAACGTTCCGAGCAGGTCGTCGTTTTCTTGGCCTGGAAGTGGCTCGTAAAGGGGAAGTGCATGTACCCAGGGGGAAAAGTTAGTCGAAAACCATGGCTTTTTCCACTTAATCTTCTAGCTATCTACTTTAAAGGGCACAATTAGAGTAACTGGTGACTTCTATGTAGGTCCTGTGAAACATCCAAGGCGTTTGAAAGTATCACTCCGCCCAAAGGAATGGATTCAGCTAACCCGAAGTTCCTTCCCTCCTAGGCACTGGCAAAAACCCTCATCCACTAGTTTACAATAGCTTCCTCGCACTTTTCATCGTTAAGTGCCTCACCCTATTGGAATATCACCTCATGAGGTGTTAAATACATATTCCACACCCAGACTTACGGAGTCCTCGGAAAAACCCTCTCAGTGAGTGGAGTAATATCTCAGCGAGGATGGAATAGTAGTGGGGCCTGCCGCGTTGTGTCCCCCTCCCCAGGGCACGCCATGGCGTTGTGATCATTTCCTGAAAAATACGCCCCCCCCCATGCTACCTACCACTTTCCTAGATTTACCCAACTTCCTACCATTTTTTCCCGAAAAATTTCCTGGTTTTTCCCCAAAATTTTGCTGTCGAGCGGGGAGGGAGGAGGTCGTCAGGATTTAACTATCATTTTCAACTATCGGAAATAGTAGTTGTATAGATCTTTGGCAGTCCCTCTCCCAACAACGACCAAATACGACCCCCTCCCTCGCGGTCAAATACGACCCCCCGTGATCATCACAACGATGGCGTGCCCTGACAGAGTAAATGCTGGTGCAGATATACCCTCCTGAAGCAACTGTCAGCGACGAGCAGGTCGTGGCGCTGGCCTGACCCAACGTCAGCGCAAGCGACGCCACACTCGCGCGCACGGCGCCAACTTTGTCACTCCGACTTTCGAATATGTTCCGTCAGCTCCTCACTTGTTGTGGTTTCTGACTTTCGCTTTATGTTCATTTTTAACCACTGCTGTCGTAGAAGAATCGAAAACTGGTAACCATCTAGCGAGTTTCTTTCATCACTGGGCTTAGAGCTATTTTTGCATGACGTGCGTTTTTCTCGTTCATTCTTTTTCTTCCGCTATTTGTTCCTTTCGCTTGCCTGTATTGTTGTATTCTGGCGATTCAGCAGACACTTCCATGAGCAGATTTCTTATAACGTTTGATGGAAACTCAGAGCTACCAAGAAATCTAAACCGTAAATGAATGATTTTCTAGCAGTTTGGCTCATTCCTTCTGCGTTTTCATCCTCGTCTTCTTGAATGTCCTCTGAAAGGCTTCCCCAAAAAAAACGCACTGATGGCGGTATAAGCATTGCAGGGCAGGCACTGTTTTGTAAAACCTTCAGGATCTTGAAGTTTTTTCTTTTTTGGAATAGGGCTTTTGAAGCCTTATTTAGCTGTTCAGCAGTAATACCTAGACCTGATTCATTTTTGAGATGCATCTGGGATTCCATCCACTAAAGTCACCCCCTAGCTGAAGCTGGAACAATGTTGGCAACATTTTCTAGAGCAGTGGGTGGGTAGTTTGGTAAAGTGAGACGGTATTCTGAAAAGTACGATTAGTAATTTTTCGCGCCATTGCGACCACTGATGTGAAGCTTGCATAAAAAAATCTAGCATTATTTTTCTTATTCTCTGAAATATCCAACAACTACGGCGGGAAGCTTGTTTTCTAAGTTACAGTCATGAGTCATGCTGTGTACCGCAGGCATTCAATTTTGCGAGCAATTAATCATGTGTGTTGTTTGTTTGGTATCTGTCATGTTTTCAGACTGATCATTAATTTGAGCTTGATTGAAATTTAGCGAATATTCTCCTTGTTTGGTCGCTGTTTATGCTTGATTTTATTGCTCCCGTGTCATTTAATATGCGTATTGTAATGCTGTCTCATATATAGCTCTGCAGACGCAATAAACTTGTGACTTATAGGTTTTAACAGATGCAAAAGCGATTTGGGAAAATTTAGCCGTGGTGATCTTTCGCTGGGAAAAGCTCAGAACAATCGAAATTCTCCGCTGCGTCGCGCGCGGGTTTTTCGTCATTATCGTTGGCCTCTTGACTGGAGCACGTTTCGAGTAGACTACGACATTGTAGGCTTTTAAGCTGTTTTTGATTATACATCGCCCTATTACTCCCTTCTGCCAGCATTTAATTATAAGTTCAGGTTGTCAGGCTGCGTACAGTACCCCCGAAAATTGCGCGTGAGATCAATTGTATTGGCCGTGAATGCACACAACGGGACCCGGGACTGCGTGGACCATTTAATTTTGGCGTGGAGTACTGTAATCTGGCCGCGGGGTCAGTGCCTGACGGGGTCGGGCGGGTCGCTGCCCGGCCCCGTCGGGTACTGACCGCGCGTCCAGATTACAGTCCACGCCAAAATTAAATGGCCGGTCCATCCCGGAGCTTCTCCACCGTGCGACTTCACGCGCAATTTTCGGGAGTACTGTACACAGCCTGGCAACCTGAACTTATAATCTTGTGTGCCGTGTCGAATTATGATTGTCTTGCCACATACCGTCGATTGCTTTACTCTGATTGAAGATGACTGAAGAGGAACCGAACGTCTTCCTGTTCTATCCGAACCTTATCGGATACGGCCGTATCATTCTGGCCATTCTTGCTTGTTATGCGATGGGCGATTGTCCAGTGACCGCCATGCTTTGGTGAGTTGTGGTTTTTTTTTCATCTGTTGTTGAATATCCGATTGGTCCCACTGAGCTGCAAGGCCACTTATGTCAACGGGAACATTTTCGCCATTCATTATTAGAATTCCGGAGAAGTGCTACTCACCTAAAAGGATATCAGGAGTTTTATTCATCACGAGGCACTCTCCCATACGCTTGGGCAAAAATCATCCAATCGTTCCTTCACATCTCTGTAAATTCATCCAATATAAAAACGTTTCTTAGAAATGCCGTCAAAACAAGGTGCATAACATTTCGCGGTTTCAAAGACCTTGTGTAAAAAGGGTTTACTGCACCAACTGTTGCACCAAAATGCTTCTCCCAACTGGAATAGTTCCGCGACCTGCCACTCGGCGAAAGTCGTGGCGAAAACCATGTCACCAACTGTGAAATGAGTGTGATCACTTCAGCACCATTTCTCATAGCTCGTGATTCATAGAATTCTTCATACAACAACTTGGCGATACCTGTACTTATTATCATTTTATTCCAGTTATGCGATAAGTGCCGGACTGGACGCTGTTGATGGAATGGTGGCAAGAAAATATCAACAAAGCAGCAGATTTGGTGCTATGCTCGACCAGCTCACAGATAGATGTGGTACCATGGCCCTCTGCATGGCTCTATGTAGATTTTACCCAAACTCGATGTTCTGGATTCAGGTATGTCGCTGTGGCTTTTTTATTTTGAAAAGTTTCATC